ACAAAAAGATTATGGTTTATTTGATATATGATAAGATTGTAGCAGAGAGTGAAGGTTGGCGATTAGTCACCAGAAAAGAATATTGCGGTGCACGATTAGAATTGAACTGTAAACAAAACTAAGGTATCTTACGCCATAATTTACTTTCATACATAGTTACGTCATAGTCAAAATATTCATTGCAGATACAAATTTTATCTTTTTGTATTGAAAATCTTGTAATATCCAGTCTTTCTCAATTTTCCAAAAAAGCTAGCCCGCATCACGCTTTACAAGCATTACTTGTTAATAGACGTTAAAGGGCTACTTGGACGAAAATTTCGAATCATTAGAAAAGACTTGGAAATCAAATAGACCTATCCATATGGGTCTGATAATCATGAAGCAACAGATTTCAAGAAGATATTGATAAAGATCCTTGATAATTTGGACAAAAAATGTTGGAGTAGATGACGTCATTTACTCCATTCTTTTGTTCTTCCATCTTTTGAATCAAAATTTATCTGATGTGGKAYAATTCCAAAACAAATATTTTCCCGCAATTGTTTTTAATAGATATCAATGAGTCGTATATTTGTATTGCTTGAAGTTTTGAAATAAGGCCATTTTCATGCAAGTAGCACTTTAACTAGACAGAGTAAAAGATAAGTAAAAGGTAATTCCAACATCGATGATTTTTGCGTGATTTTTAAGCACTTCCATGAAGCTACATGTACGACGATGCATTCGATTGCGTTCTCAAAAAAGTGTTTATTTTAGAGAGAATATTTATTCTCATTCATTTCCTAGGGGGTAACCTGAGTTCCTAGGGGGGTAAAACGCGATTTTGGAATTCTCTGGAACTACCCAATAAAGATTTCATATACATGAAAATGCCCTTTGTTAACAAGAACCTCAAGAAACAGACGCAAGCGATTATAAAACGCACTGGTCTTACAAACGTTCGCATGTYTTATATTACTGGCCATTCTACCGCCAAAATATTCGCTCGACCTAAAGAAAAACAATCTTGTGATAAGCTCTGTGAYACTTGCATTTCTTCTATAAAACCAGGCCAATATTTAATCAAAAATGTTGTCTACAAATTCGATGTGTACATTGTAATCGTTTGTATATTGGCAAAACAACGAAGAACAGTTGGATCTAGAATGAAAGAACATGTGCACTCCAAACAAACTTTGTTGGCATATGAGCGGTTGTTAAAAATGCCCAGTTTTTTTTACCAATTTCATATGCTGAAAAATCAGCCAAACATAGTGATGTGATTTTCAAAAATTAATCATCCATTTTGTAGCACAAAATCTAAATTATTTACATAACTGTCAGACAGTGAGTTGCTCTTAATTTTCTTCTTCTTGCAAGAGTTTTATCTTGTGTATTAATACTAACAATTTAATTCATGATCTCACCTGATAATATGGACTTTGACTGTTGATCCCTTGACAGTCATTGCAACAGATCCAAATATCATTTCTCCTAACATAGTAGAATCACTACTTGGTCTCCGAATCTAAAAATAGAATCATGATAAATCATTTCWAAAAATACAACCAAACACCATTACAAAAAGTCACTAAAAACCTCTGAAGGAACCCAACTAAAAAGGAAATGTCAAAAGGAAATGAAATTTTATACAAAGGGAAAAGAACTGTACTTTTTCAAATTGAGCTCATTTAAAACTTTTCACTTCAGTGATCACCTATACGCCCAACCACGTAAATAAATCACGAAGTCATTTGAAAGTAACTCCTTGTTGATTACTTTTCATGCAAGATTTAGCAGCTTTTGAAGGAACTAGATGACAAATCTACACGGTAAACATCACGCAAGGAATGCAGATGTGGCTCAAATCATTCACTCTGATAGTCTTCATGTGAAACAACTGTAAAAATATGGATAGACTTATTCTAATTGAATTAATTTAAAGGTTAAGTATTAAACCACAACATCGTGAAAATTAGACAGTTCGCGAAGTGTCGGTGATAGTTGGCGTTATGGCAACAATCTCAACAAGATGGTTATCCCGCTCTATAAAACCATGATCGCTTCAGTCTTCATCTAGCAATAACCCTGCGTGAATATTAACATTGTTTAACATATTAACATTAATCCAGAAGAGACAGAATCCCTCATCAAATTGAGAATTTAGGCTATGTAACTCAGAATCAGATAGCCTCGTTGCGTAATTCACTCAGCTACTAAGTATCAGTTTACATCTCGCCAAGGAAAATGCAA